AAAAAAAAAAAAAAAAAAAAAAAAAAAAAAAAGTTTATAGATTGATATTAGAATGTGAATTGGGATCCAACGCGCTTACATGTGTTTGTTGTCCCCTTGAGCCCTTTTTAAAAATTTAATTGAATAGAAGGTTCGATGACTTTGACGTTGACTTGACTTTTCAATTAAAAAAACACGACTTAGAAGCAAGTTGACCTATAAAGTTGATTGGGTGGAGGATTTTATTTATTTATTTATTTTTTGATCGCTAATTGGAACACGGATGGAAAGGAGAAAGTTCACTTTTTTAGAGTATAAATTTAAAAATTACTCTGGACGATATATAATTGAGGTCGAGATGGGTAGTGGGTGTCACTGATTAGGTTCTTTTTTGTTCAAAACTCTAAAGTTTGGAAAGACCATGTTCGTGATTTTAAATGACTCCAATCTCCTTTTTAAAAGTTGTTCACCGAGTTCTTTTATCCACTGACTAGCGAGAGAGCATTATTTCAATAATTTAAAAAAAGTTGAGTTCCTGAGAATTAATTGAAAATTTGAAGTAGTTCACACGACTATTCACATGCGAGACGAATATTTTTTTAATGGACAGGAAAAACTCAATAGGTACGATAATACACAATCAATTATAGTCACATGTCCTATTTAATATTGTCGATACTAAATTCAATAAACGATCCTAAGACTAGTAGTTAGCCATGTGAGGAGGTTGCGGATAATCAATCATCTAACACATGAAAACTATAGCATAAAATTCAAGTAATTTAATGGGTTAAAATTATAAATGTTCAAGGCATTATATGAAAAAAATTGTTATATATAATTAACTAATTTACATTTCATTTAAATTCAAATAAATATTTTTATTTTAATATTTCATCCATAAAAATGATATTTTTTTTCTCTTTGATCTAAATATTAAATATTAATTTAAATTATATATATTAAATATTAATGTGAGCACTCTCCTTTAAATAAACTTTCTAATTTATATTAATATTTTTAATATTTAAATGTTAATTTCAATATTTGAAATATTTTTTAATTAAATTAATCATTGTAGTATTATTACTGATATAAAATTAATTAATTCAAATATTTAATTAATCAATTTTCATTAAATATAAATATAAGTCACTCTACTGTAGACCTAATATTGTACTTTTATGCACTTATTTATAACGAGTTGTGTGTTTCTAACAATTACAAACAACTTATTTGTAGGATCTTGACTGAGTAAGTTACAAAGTTAAATAAAATAAAGCAAATGCTTCTAAAAGAGATAAGAAATGCTACTGCTCTAACCTTACTTTTATGACCTTTACATGTGAAGTCGTCATCTGTACAAGGGTGCATTACCCTTACTTGAAAAGAAAGGTAGCACGTGACTGAGTATTTAAAAATTCTCAATAAGTAGGTCAATTGGGGCTAGGTAAGGCAAATGCAAGCAATCATATTTGGACTGACTACCCTAACTCTTTCATGGCCTTCGTCGTGACACCGTCATCCATACATGAGTGTCTTACATTTACTTGAAAAATAAGAGTAGCACGTGACTTGAGTATTTTAATAAATACTTAGTAAATAACCCCACTATTGAGATCGAAAAACACAAACACATGCGATATGGTGAGATCTTATCATTTTAAAAACATCATGACATGACCTTAGACAACTTTCAAGCCAGGGAAGGGTTAGATGAGTAGAACTTCTCTACACACGGCCCACGCACGCGCATATGGGCCCACTAGGTGGGCTTGTGTACCCGTTGGACCTAGCTTATCGGGCTAGCACTCACTAATGGGTTATTGAATGTCATAGAGAGAAAGACCCCGCATAACATCATAGCGAACCTAAATATCGTAAGGTACGTGTTTGTATTAATCATAACGAAGAAGTGTCTCAATGCATGACACACAAAAATACATAATGTCCCCAGAGCTTAAAACCATAACATAAATTTTATGTTGCAAGTCTACCTCCTTTCATTTATAATATATGAGTCCGTAAATTATGCATACATAATTCTTGTCAAATCTTTCGTGCATAACATAATCTATGGAAGTTTATGCATCATAGATTATCAACATCATATCATATTACAACAACATAGCATAGCCACACCATTTCACAACTTATAAACATGACATAACAAAGTACAAAATATCATAACAATTCTAATATGACACATGCAAAAAGGCAACAATACATAATGAAATTCATCTAACCAAGCCATTTCACCTATATAGACCCACGTCATTGAGGTAGGTACGATATACGATCCAATTCATTATTCGGGATCACTTTTACACTCTTAGTTCCAAAGATAGCTTAAATCGACTAAAATAGTTGTTATACTAACCTCAAATGCTTCGGAAAACATCGAATATGAGCCAAATATGCCATCTAGGCCGAATTGAAATCGTTGGAACGCGCCGAGCCGAGCGAAGCTGAAATCAATGGCGCGCGGTTTAGAATTGTGATTGGGTCAGGTTTGCGGGTCAGCTATGGAGGAGGAGTGCGCGTAGGTTAGAGCCGAGTCGTGGCGCGCGTGCTGGACACATTTTGGGCTGCGGGTTTGTGGGTGTTTTGAGCCGAGGTTGCACGTAGCCTGGATATTGAATTTGATCCAGTTTCAAGTCCGACTCACAGGTGTCTTTTTCTTGGCCCGAATTTCTGTGTTCCCGAATCCGCGCTCTTTTGAGTGCAGCGACTGATTTTGAGAGAGGGATTTGCTTACTCCTTTCCAGAAACGACGTTCGTTCAATCTGTAATAGTCGGAGGCGTCTTCGGCGCTGCGAGCCTCCGATCTGCTGCCGTTATCGTCGGTAGTCATTGCTTGACGAATTAAGGGCTTCGTCGTTGGATCGATCGCTACCTTTTATCGCCGTCTTTCCTCTCTGAGGTATCTTTCTCATCTTCAGTTTTTTTTGGTTTTGATTCTTCTTCTTGAATCGGTCACCGTTCAGCTCATTACAGATTTTCTCTTCATTTTCCTTCCTCAGTTTCTTCTACGATCGATCAGCAATATTTACTCCCAATTTTACATTAGATTTGTTTCTAACTATAAAGAGTGGTTCTGTGGAGAGGCCAAAGGGAAATGAATCTGTGTTTTTTTTGGTTGACTCATATAGATTCTTGCTGAACTGACCTGATTTGGATCGACTTAGATATCACACATTGACGATTCGCTATTTTCTTTTTAACCTATATGACTTACATTTTGTCCAATTTATTTTCTCTTACCCTTAACTAGACTAGATCATTCTATGTATTTATGGTTTCTCTTATCAGCTCCCTCATGATCCTACCGGAGAATATGAGTTAGATAAGTAAAGCTTGGGGAATCTCTGGATTCTTAGTTGTTTTGCTAGGCAATTGATTGTAGAGTTAGTGAAAATGTTGGGGCTTTGTCGGAAATCTTAGATTCGTATACCATTTATGCATGATAATTGATTTGATTAAGTTTAGTTTACCCCAGAAACCATGCAGTTCTTTGGTGGCTCAGAGATTAGCCCTTCGCCTACGGTCCCGACAGCAACTGGAAACAATGTGAATATGATGTATATTTTCAATAGGAATGGAGTTTGCTTGTTCTACAGGGAGTGGAATCGCCCTCTCCGGACATTGAATCCCCAGCAAGACCACAAACTTATGTTTGGTTTGCTCTTCTCGCTCAAATCCTTTACTGCTAAGATGGACCCAACCAGGTTTATCTTTCTTCCTTAACTGGTAAACTACTTTGGCTTGTGGCATGCCTGGTTAAAGTAATTGATCCAGCAAGATAGGAGATAATGCGAACTATATTTTTATGTCTTAATAACTTGACAAATGCATTGCTCTTTATGGTCGGTGGCATGACTAATAAATGTCTAATTTGATTGTAGATTTTGGTTTTGAATTGTCAAAGTCTTGTCTTATTGGGAAGTGATGAGCTGCTTTTGGGAATTTATTTTGAAGTTTTTTTTTTTTTTTTTTTTTTTTTTTTTTTTTTTTTTTTTTTTTTT